CCCCAAAACCCCAAAACCCCAAAACCCCTAGTAGCTAATTTAATTTGGATTTTAGGGAATTATAATTAATATTGTCACATTGGGCGAGTACTTAAACTTTGGCGATCAAATTAATTGGATCCGTACAAAAGCTTCTTAAACTAATCAATCTCTTCATCCATTATTAATCTTTCATTAATTTGTTAATCCTCCAACATCTATTTCTTCATATTCATCCTATTTAACTCCTCGTTTATTTATTTTTATTAATTCAAAGCGTATTAAGACAAAAGTTAAGTCATTTTTGGGAGATTATTTTATAATGCAAGCTCTAAGGGTGTCTTACCATTTCCATCTTTAATACCTAGATCAGGCTTATGTTAACCAGGATATTCCAAGAGAATTTTGAGTGTATCATAATCATTATAGATAACAGCAAAGTGAATGCATGTGTAATCTCTAAACTATACATTTTTGCACCTAATATTTAAATCAATCTCTATCAAATATCCTGTGAGTAGGCATTTTTATAATGTTTTAAATTTCTTCATTATTGCAACCATTAAAGGAGTGAACCCCTCTTAGTTTAAGTAGTTCACATTGAGTCCAAAATACATCAAATGAAAGAGTAGTTCTTTGGCAATATTCTTGCAATAAGAAGATCCCTAGAAAAATTCACTCATTTAGAAATTAGGAATCGAATCTAATTATGTGTTTGTCTTTTGAATTAAGTTATTATTTGCGGGAATCTTATTTGTCTTGTTGAACTGATCATATAAAAGCATCTATGAGGAACTTCCTTCATTTTACCTCTTCCCTTCAACTAAATAATTGTTTGCTTAGTCTTTTTAAACCTCCAGTGTTTCCATTTAGAGTAAAATTTTCTCCTCTGCACTTAGTTCTGGCAAATTATTCCTAATCATCTCCTCAGTTAGCAAAGTTTTATAATGGAACTAAGGTCTCTGCAAAAACTGCTTATAAGATCCACTTTCGAACATTGACCAGTTATAACAAACATAATCACAGTAGGACTAAAGTATCTGATTCAATTCTAAGTCTAGCTCATCATCATTTTAATGTTCAAAGTAGCAGCATCTGAATACATCCTGGATTAAATCTACGGCTAAATCACCAATGCTTGGATTAAAGTAAATCCCTCTTGAAATTTGGTTGTTTCTAGACTCAATTTGAATTATTCTATGGGGATCATTTGAATCTGATTGGTTTTCTCTTGCTATTAAGGGAAGCATATTTGACCATCTAAACACTTTGAGGGTTTAAGAACCTTAAATAGCACTAGTAATTATAAATAAAGATAAATTTTACTTTATTAAAGGTGTTGAAGCATCTAAAGTTACTTTTGTATTTGCTAGTCTGAGACTCATTAGCGTTTTGTTTTATAAAATTGACTCTGCTAAATTAAATGCTCCATCATCAGTGAATTCACAATCAAATAGATCTAGAAATTTCAGGCCTTTATTTTATACTAAAGCAGATGCCAAATTAGCTATTCCAATATTGCCCAGTTTATTTTATCCAAGACTTAACAGCTTAAGGTCTGAATTTACTGCTAATGCTGCGCTAAATTTTTTAAGATCATGACCAATTATTCTTGTTCTGTTGAGAGATAAAACTTTAAGCTATCTAGACGACTGCATAAATGTGGCTATTTTATCCATTCCTCTATTTGAAAGTTAAAATAAATAATTACTATTTTCCAAGGAAATTATAATCAAGCACGAGAATCCTAATGCTAGTTGGTATTGGCGCTTCATATTTCTATCCAACCTTCAAATCAAAGGAATCATAGAACAAGTCTAATAAAGACTGAATGCCATCTTAATCAATGAAATTATTCGTAAGATCAAGACTATAGAGATTATCTTCAAATACTCTTATGCTTTTCCATTTGTTTTACTATATGCACTTTATGAGATGGACTAGTCCTTAGTTTTTTATCCTTGTAAAATTTAACGACAACGATTTAACAGCTTTATTTTTCTAAACTTGCATCATAAGAGCATTTAATTGGCTGAGAGTAAAAGGATAATACCCACCAAATATCAGTAAATCTCTTGAGGGAGCCATCATTAAGTAGCTATTTGAATCATTTAGATTACTTATCCTTCTGTATTGCTCTATAAACATCTTGTTCACATAGTTGTATTCCCAAACAATCCTTTGTAAAGTAGAAACGAATAATCTAGTCTTCTGATGATTATTGTAAAAACAAGTTACTAATTCTTATTAAAGCAATTCTGTCATTTCAGGTAGGACTAGATGTTCAAAGTAGGTATTGATAATCTCAAATAGAGTATTCAGCTTCTTTTTTCTCTGAAGCATCTAAGCTTCTGCTTTGGCAATACAGAGCAGTTTTCTTAGTTGATTAGCCTCTGGCACTACTCTTTTAGATTGAGATAGAGGTATATCAAAGAAAGGTATTAGCTTCATAAGGATTTCAACATCTTGAAACGTGCTATCAGATTTCTTCTATTCCATCATTTGTAAATCTGGTTTAACAGAGGGTTTCATCAGTTTAGGATTTGTAATATTCGGAGCATCTTAAAGCTTTATATTTTTCAGTTATTCTTTGAAGTTAAACCAATTTTCACCTAGAACTTCTAGTTTTTATTTGATTTCAGCAGCTTTATCTGCAGAATATACAGCATTCCTAAGTATTGTATCATACTAATCATCATTCATACTTCTTTTGATTTTAAAGTAACTCTCCACAATATTAACTAAGTTGTTATCTTGATTCTGACAGTTTCTTAGCAATCCCTGAGCTTATATAACATCTACATTTAGGATACCACGAGCATAGATGGAATATTCATTATTAGTTTTTACATTAGTTACAAGAGGTCTCGTCCATATATATAGTAGAATAACCTCCTCATGACTAAGAAATTCTGGTTTCACATTGTATAGTAAACTTTACAAGGATTTTTGCTAGACGATGTCTTGAAGGACATTTGTAATTTGGCCTTATTCAAATGTTTAAAGCATTCCATGTCCCATTAAGTTTTTATTCTGCTCTTTCTTTGCTTGCTCTAGCATTACTTATTGCTGATGTCTAAGTTCCTCCATTGGATCCTTCTAAATTTTACTCGGCTTGTTAACACTATAACTACTTTTATGACTACTGTTTCTAACAACTGATTTTGGCTTAACTTAGACTAGGTTGTGATTGCTGATTGTCTCTATCACATCTTCAATCTCAACACTTGGAATATTTTAGATATCATATTGAATTTATTGTTGCTGATGTTTTTCTTATTACTCAAGTGCTTTTGTGAAAGATTTCTTTTTATATGCTTGCTTAACATTGTTTTAAGTGTTCAAGTTGCTCCTAATTGGATCTATCTCCTCATCTGAGTCCTCTTGTTAGTACTGAAACTTTACAACTTGACCATTGCTATCTGTAACATACATTTTTGTAAGTAATATTTTCTAAATTCTAATGAAGTTAATTCATTCATCAATGAGTCGTGGGGTTTTGGGGTTTTGGGGTTTTGGGG